ACGCGGTCTCGTCGTTGCGGAACTCGAGCTCCCCGCAGGCGTCCTCGTAGTCGACGCCGCCCCCCTTGGCCGTGCCCTCCACGGTGCGGAAGGGCACGAGGACGGTGCCGCGGGCGCCCGAGCTGCGCACCACGGTCACCTCCACCTTGCCCTGGCACTCGCTGACGCGCACCGAGCGCTCGCGGAAGCCGAAGATGCCGGCGTGGTCGTCGTCCAGGATGGTGACGGTGGCCACCAGCGGGGCCACCAGCCGGCCCTTGGGGCGCTCCTCGTTGTCGGCCTCGAACATGCCCTCGGCGTCGCCCACGCGCAGGTTGAGCAGCCGCACGAAGAAGTGCTCGTCCTCCTCGAAGATGTCGTCGTCGATGATGCCGATGGCCAGCTCCTTGCGCGTCTCGCCCGGCTTGAACACCAGCGTGCCCTCGCTGTACTCGTAGTCCGAGCCCGCCTTGGCCGAGCCGTCCTCGGTGCGGAAGTCCACGTAGAAGGTCTGGTTGGCGCCGGCGCCCTGCCGGCACGCCACGGCCAGCGTCACCGACCCGCAGTTCTCCAGGCAGTGGTACAGGCAGGGCTCGAAGAAGATGAGGCTGCACGCCTCGTCCTCCTCCTCCTCCTCCTCGTCCTCCTCGCCCGGCCCCGCCGGCCACCTCCGCGCGGCCTCGGCGGCGTGCCGGCGCAGCACGTTGCCGGCGCCGGTCATGAGGCGCGTGGCCTGGATGCGGTAGAAGGCGCGGCTCTTCTGCTGGTGCAGCAGCGCCGCGTAGTTGGCGGCGTCCACCAGCTGGCCCAGCTCCTTCTCCGGGTGCTTCTGCTTCAGGTCCTTCAGGATCTGGATCACCTCGCGCCGGCTCTCGTCCAGCTCGCGCTCCTCGGGGCTCGGCGGCGCCGGGGACGGCGGCGCCGCTGCCGCCTCGGGCTCGGCCGGCGGGGCCAAACCGCCGTCGGCCTCCACGTCCTTGGGCGGGCGCTCGGCCTCGGCGCCGATGATGATGCCGCTGCGCGGGTCGGCGCGGTAGCGCTTGTAGACGTACTTGTAGAAGAGCAGGCGCTTGTCGGCGGCCCAGGCGAAGACCACGCAGGCCGGGAAGAAGAGCAGGGTGAGCAGCGCCTCCCACACCTGCACCACGCCCGGCGTGATGACGGCCAGGATGAGGTAGAGCCACACGTAGGCGAAGATGCTCCAGGCGGCCGTGACGAAGAAGACGCGCAGGTGCTTGATGCGCCGGCTCTCGCCCGCCGGGATGGCGTAGACGCACACGGCGATCACCACGAACATGTTGAAGGCGGCGCTGCCCACGATGGTGCCGGGCCCCAGCTCGCCCGCCTGGAAGCGGTGCCCGCACACCTCGATGAGCGACAGCAGGATCTCGGGCGCCGACGAGCCCAGCGCCATCAGCGTCAGGTTGGAGACCGTCTCGTTCCAGATGCGCACCGTGCCCACCGAGGTCTCGCCGTTGGCCTTGGTGACCGTGATCTCCTTCTCGCGCGACGTGATCACCTCGATGGAGGCCATGAAGCGGTCGGCCACGATGGACACGCCCAGGAACAGGTACACCATGGCCACGAAGTAGACGACGGCGCGGGCCGCCTTGTCGCCGGCCGCCGGCTCCTCGGGCTGCCACACGGGCAGGAGGACGCCCGGCTGGCACCGCGA